ATTTGTTATTAGGAATTTGTTATTAGGAATTTGTTATTAGGAATTTGTTATTAGGAATTTGTTATTAGGAATTTGTTATTAGGAATTTGTTGTTAGGAATGCGGGAATTGTCTTCTTCCCAAGGCAAAAATGCCCTTTATTTATAATAAACGTTTTGTTTACATTTGCAGTTAATTTCTCTCATAAACGCAATATATTTCTTATACTCTATATCCTAACTAAATCTAATAAAACGCTAATATTTCGTTTAACTCATGTGTAGGCGAAGTCGCAGAAACGGCGTAAGTAACATAAGTGACATTTCCGTCACTTTCGTGTGACCTCGGATCGGGTCAGGATCGTCGCTTCGATTCGGTCACCTGTGACCCCGAAAACCGGGCTCACAATATTAACTAAATTATTAAAAGGAATCCATTCTATTACATCTTCATAAGAAGTAGCTTTAAGTTAAAATTCTTTAATGTAATAATCAATATCTTTATTTCCATTTGTCCACCCCTGTGTTGTCTTCTGAGGGTCGCAGGTTTGACACCAAGCTTCTGATGTGTTATATCGGTGGTAATTTGCACATTGCCCATACTCATAATCTCTTTTAGAACTAAATTTATCAAATTCAGTAAATACTAAGATATAAGATAGCTGCGCAGCGTATGACGCCGCGCCGAACCAGTACGATCACACGTGTGCGGTGCATACTTTAGTTTGTATGAACGAATTAAATTAATTGTTAAATGTTTAGTTGATTTGAAATTTTATACTTCGTGAAATTTTAATGTATTACGTTGTAAATATGGTTTATATGTATGATCTACTAACATTTAAGATTTATTGACGTACAGTAAGGCGGTGGTTTCATTTTGAAGACTTATTAAGTGTTGAATTTTGGATGTTTTTATTTTCGAATAAAAATATATTATTAATTATGGAGTTTTATATTTATTGATTAGTGATTTAGATTTAATTGAGGATTTGGATTATGATATGTGCTATGAAATTTAACACAGTAGTTTGCCTGTATTTTAAATTTATGTGCGTGATGCGTATATATTGTTAATTTTTAAGGTGCGAAAAAATTTTTAGTGTGCGTTTTGTAAAGACTTCATATTGTGATTAGGCTTTATGGTTAGTGTAGTAGTGCAAGGATTTATATATGATGATTACGTTCTGGGGCTGTTGTAATTGCAGTGCAAGGATGTATAGGTAGTACAATGTTCGTGTTATTCATAATGCTATTTAATCGATTCTAGTTGCAGTTATGTGATTTCTACTTGTCTACTTTCTTCTATGTGAAAATACAATAGATTATAATGAATATGTTTTTCTAATGTAGATATTCTATATGAATAGTATAGCGCTTGTAATTGACGGCGAATGGGATTTTCATATTCTTATTCGTTTAAATTAGGTTTTTTGATCGAGCAATAATAATAACTTATAAATTATATATATAAATGTATTTATGTACTTGATAGTAAATAAATGAATTTTTAATAATTACTGCGTGTTTACTGAAGATTTTTGTTGATTTTGTGCTTTAGAAGTTGATTGGGATTATTTGGAATTTATTTAATGTAAGAATTTTATTAGTACATGATTTTATGTGAATATTTTAATTACGTAAAGGTGCGGAAATGTTTTATCAGATTATTGTTTTATTTTTTTTAGGGTGAGGTGAACTGGAGGAGCCGTCGACGTTAAACAGTTAATATAATAGGCGAAGATTAGAACCGTAATATGGATTAGCTGAACGTGGTGGTTTTAATACTTATCTATATGTCATTATGTGTAATTTTGCATTATTAATTGTAATTTGTTTTAATCATGTTATTATGAAGTAAAAGTGATGTAATTATCGTTATATAATTTTGTTATTATTTTACACTAATATTTGCGTATTGTTAAGGTTTCGTGCTAGAATCATATGATTAGGAATAATTTGGTAATGTATCATTACATGATTTAAATATTTGATAATCAAAGTTTGATGATTATAAATAAGAACAATTTTGATGTAGTAGGTCATTAAATGCCTTGTTATATTGATACAGTTGTAAAGGTTAATCAAGTTTATTTATTTGATAAGAATGAGTCGAAATTGACTATTGTGTGGGCTATTGGTGTATATCCTCCTGAAAGTGAAGATCATGAATTGGAGATGGTATTGTTTGTTCCAATAAATAGCGATGAAAGGGATCCCAATTCACAGTCAATTTTTGTAAAGGGCGAATATTATAGTGTTGATGGAAAAGTTGTACCTAGAAATTACAATAGTAATTTAAGATTAAAAGTAAGTATTCTATGAATAGTATATCTGTTAATTATTAAAGTTGTTAATAACAAATTTTATTAATTTAGATGATCGTTGCATCGTCGCTCATCTTATAATTAAGAGGGATCCCAGTTCGAATAGGTGTCCGTTAAGAGTTTCGTTGGTTGGTATTACTCAAGATGCAATGAGGGAAGTTAATGAAGAGAACGTGATAGTTAGTGTTAGGGGTCTGCAGCCCGGGCTCATGCCTGTGCCTAACAAAAAATCTAGGCATGGGCATGAGCACAAAAACTCAGGCATGGGCACAGGCACAGAAATTGGATATTTATTATTTAATTGTGCCTGGCACTTTGTCTGACACTTGTGCCCAGCATTTTGTGCCTATGCCTTTAATAGTGCTTGGTATTTTTGTGCCTATGGGCACAGACATGGCATAAGGCACTAATGCCTGGCCTGGTGCCAATGTGCCAGGCATGGGCATTTTCAGACCCCTAGTTAGTGTATTAGTAAATGATTATGTTGGCCAAAATTACAGTTTTACTGTCAAGATCGTTTTTCCACATAACAATAGTAGATTTAAACATTTAAAGAGTTCAATTCAGCCAGGTGAGTCTATCCTCTTTGTCGTAGGTCAGTTGGAGGTTATTGAAAATGTTTTGTACACAAATGCTGTTGATATTTCTTATGTTGACGTCCTTCTGCAACTATGAAAAGTTCTGATAGCTTACAAATTGTGCTAGAAGATCCTAAATCTGTGCGATCTAGGCATTTAAGTACTCATCAAAGTGCTTGTGGAAATTTAAGTAAAGTGCCTGTAGTTGAGAATTTTGATAATAATGTACATAAAGCTGACTCAGCTGATGATGATTGTTATTCATCAAAATGTGTTAAAGTGGAAGATGAAGATGATTGTTATGAATATGTGGATTCTTACAATAGTAAACATGACCATATGGTTGAGTGTAATAGCAGATATTTAGAAGAAAATCATAAGTATGGGATTGATATTACTTTAGAAAGTAAGGGGAGACGAGTTATCATGAAGATGCGAATAAAAACAAAGAAAAGAAGGTTCAGTTTATAGTGCATAATACCAGAGAACGTGCCAAATCAATTAAGAATGTAGATATAATAAGGAAGAAGATTAAATTATTTAATGCCATGTTATGATAGTATTTGTCAATTAAATTATCGTATATTGCTTGCTGTTTTATATTATGTAACAATTGTTGATTCGTTACTTTTATTTTTTATATAATTGTTATATTATTGTTTGATGTGTTTAAGTATTTATAAGCTTATTTTTGATTATTATAATATTTAAAATATTTTAAAATATGTTGTAGTTTTTACGATTTTGTAAATATTTAAGCTTGTTTTAAAATGTTGAAATATATTTTTTTAATTTTAAATTTGATATTTATAGTTTATTTTAAGTTTTTGGATTTGAGTGGGAATAAATACTAAATCATTTTGAAATAATGGTTAGTGTTATTTTGAATGATATTATTAGAGCTGTTATTGGCTTGACCTAGCTTGTATATTTTGTTAATATAAAAATCGATCAATGAATAGAGTTGTATGAGCATTAACAGTTTAGATATTACATTGTTGATTTCTAAATGCTTGTGTTATTTTGTTATATAGTAATATTGATACATATATAGTAAAATTTATTATGTTTGTTTTACATATGCTCTAATATTGCATTACTTGTTAGGTCATGTAATGAATTATCAGTTACTTTTGAGCATTTTCCAAATCATTCGAGTTCTTTTACAAGATGGGATCAATTGGCATATTGAGCTTGGATTGATTAAAAGATCAGAGTATTATAATGTTTTCTTTTTTTTTTTTAGATAACCTCTTTGGTCTTTTGATTTTATTAACATATTTTGATATTTTTGAAAATGTAGTTCTGTAAGAAGCTACTAAAGAAAGAGTGTACAATTGATTACTCACATAACTTTCATAGTACCTATTTAAGAAGTTCACCTAATGTTCCTTACTAATTGCTATACTTAACCCTTCTGCTTGGTTATTCTATTTTAAACTCTCTGAACCTGTTCTATATTACTTTATCAAATTAAGTCTAAATCTTTTTCTCAATCTTAGAACATTTTTATTCTCAAGTAAATTTTCTAAAGCCTGCTATATACCTATTTTTGAAGTTGACCCAGGTATTGCTATGGTAAAACTAACACTTGCAGTCAGAATTAATTATTAAACTGCTGTGTTTTTGTAAAGTTCATCTAGATTTCAACATCTATTTTATAGCATATCTCTAGTATTTTAGTATATTCATATGTTTTTTATCAAACTTCTAATCCAGATAGTCTGTATAGAACTATGATCAGTTCATCAGTATATTGGGTTAGTCTAATATTCTTTTCTTCTAGTCTAATCTGATGGCCTGATTGGTAATATCTTCAAAATTCCTAATCCAGAGGTTTTTGTCTATTTATTTACTTTGATATTGGTATCTGTTTATTAGGTCTAGTCTTTACAGTAGTACTATTGAAGATTTATGTTATCTCTCTACTCATATCTTTCCAAATAGGTTTCTTATTTTTTAATTTCTATATATTTATACAGTTACAAGAACTTATCTTAAGTTTGTATTACTTAATATTGATTTGCATTTTTTTGTATAATTAGTTACACAGATGCCTTATAACCTGTTAGTCATACTGATGTGACTATAATTATAGGCATCTTAATCTAATCATTAAAAACAGTTACTATAATACAAGATTATATAAATGATTATTCAAATTTTATTGTTAATTGGATTTGAATATCTAAACTGCTACTTGAAATATTGACAATCTAATTACTTCATTAGGTCATTACACTTATATTATAATATCTTTTAATTTCTATACTTAAGATAATATAATATAAATTTTAGCTCTATTATGTTTTTTATATAAATTACTAATTATTTTTTCTGATATAATACTTTAATATTTGAATTTTATAAATATAAAAGCTAAAGTAACAAGTAGTTGTGTTCTTTAAAAACTTCTGATCACATTTAATCCATCTTATTTTTTTATATATATATTTGTAATTTTGTTTTATAGAATATATTGATATATAATTTGAAGAAATGCCATTATATAACTCTGTATTGTAACTTAAAAACTTTATTATAATATATTTAAATATTTTATTAAAAATAAGAGTTTTTCTTTATTTATATTAATATTTTTTATAATTAATAATGCATTATTATATACAATTTTATAAAGAATACCTTGAGCACCATTTACTATATTATTATTTGTATAGATATTGATTATTAGTAATAATTTTATACCTAGAAATAAAGGTAATATACCATATAGTGCATTAGATTTCATATCTGATACAGTTGGATTTTTTTTTATATTATTATAAATAGGTTTATTTTTGTATATATCTTTAGCATAAATATAATATACTGGTTAGTTATTATCTTTTGCATATTTTATTATGATTTCAAAGTTGAATTGAATTCATAAATTGTTTATTTGAACTAAAAATACTACATTTTTCTATTTAGGTTTATTAACTTTATTTTTTGTTATTATTCGATTGCTAAAAGTTTCATGTTAAATTTATATAAGATTATTTGAATATAAATTGTTTAATATATTTGTGTATTTTATATTATCATGTTATTACATTTGGTTTTTTAAAATAATAGCAAGGTTTATTGTTTTTTATAGTTTTCTGTATTAGTATTAAAGAATTAATACATTTAGTAGTTTGCATTTGACTTGACTTATTTCATTATAAATTATTATTTTGTTAATATTATTAGATTAGTATAAAGGAGAATTAAATACTGAAGAAAATTGTATAAAATTTCTGACAAAAATTATACTCAAGCTAACAAAAGGCATAATATTATTTTGTTAAAATTTTTCTTATTTAGTGCTGTTATAATATCTAGTTAAAAGTTTTTGTTCTATATTAAAATTTCATCTATAATAAAATACTCTTCATTTTCATTTTTTTAAAGTAAATTCCTTATTTCTTTATATATAAAGTTATCTTTTAAATTATAGTTAATATTCTGTTAAATTTAAAACTATATAATAAATAAAGCATAAAACTACAAATGTTTAATATAGCAAAACCTGTTGGTGTACAAATTTTAAGTAATTATTTTTGGCCAATTCAATTAAAGTATTCATAAATAACTTCTATTACTTTTGATTTTCTGATGCCTTTATTACTACTAAAATATATTAATAACTAAAATAATTTGTTTTGGCTATCTGGATAATTACAGTTATAATGATTGCAAACAAGAAAAAAAATTTTTTTTATTTATTATTAAAATTGAAATTTCTTGAATTAGATCTATTTAATTTGTTATTGATATTAATTGTAATTTGATTTGTTTTTCTTAAACAGTATTATATGTAAATAAATTTGGTTTTTTTGTTTAGTATTAAGGTAATCTTTTTGGTCTTTTGACTTTTATTAATAAGTTTTTTGATAATGTGATTTAGTAAACTATTACAAAAAAGTGTAAAATTAGCTACATATATAAATTTTTTATATTATCTATTTAAGAAGTCTTCTAAAAGGTTCTTTTTTTTTTTTTTTGAATTTCCACTGCTTGATCGCTAGTGGTCCGCAGCTGGCGGCTGTTTTATTAGTTCAAATTT